GTGCGATAGACTTATCTCCACGTGGTGCACCCTGGGTAACATGTACTTACACGGCAAAAAAGTCTATTAACTGGTAGTTGACTACTTACTTCAAACTACTATCACCCCACTCTATGTCATATTCGACTACTTCCACAGTATTCATCTCACCTTTTATCTACCTTTGTGTCTGTCTCTTTTACATCCTTGAAACACCCTTCTGTTCCTCCCCAACCTCTCGACTTTTTTCGCTTTGATGCTCCTCTCCCTCTGTGAAGCCTGAAGTCAACTAAAGGGCTAATGATAACTATCATAAAGCCTGTCATTTGATATAAATATACTAGGTGATAGAAATGTGTAGAATGATCATTTAACTACGAAAACTCATCATAGAATGGTGAATCGGTGGTGTTGTGGGCAATGCACATGTCTGCGAAATGAGATGTAAGAACTCGATGACCCACCGGTGTGAGAGGAGTTCCCTAACGCATTGAATAAATCTGACATAATTGTTCTTAGAGTGATGTTTATTCTCCAAACTTCAATTCAAACAGAGGCTAAAGTAAAAAATACAAACTGTTTATGAAAAACTCCTAAATCCATTAGTGACCATCTCGTTGTGAACAACTTAAGTAATTGGGATTGATCGGGGGTATATCACGACTTTCAATTTTTCACAAATACCTCCACGTGGTGCACCTTGGGCAACCTATGATTATACGGCAAAAAAGTCTATTAATCGGCAGTTGACTTCTCACTTCCAACTACTAAGACCCCACTGCATTTCATATTTGACTAATTTCACAGTACTCACCTCACCTTTTTCTACCTTAGATTCGCCCCCTTTCACAGTACTCATCTTACCTTTTTTATAACTTTGTGTCAGTCTGTCTGTCTCTTTTACATCTGTGAATCATTATTCTGTTCCCCCTCCCTCTCGACTTTTTGGCACTTTGATGTTCCTCTTTCCTTTCTGTGAAGCCCGAAGTCAACTAAAGGGCTAATGATACCTATCATAACGCCTGACATTTGAAATATACATATATTTCTAACAACAAACGCGTTCAAACATTATCTAAGTAGAATCTGAAGTAAACCACAAGAAATACCTTACTGTTCACCTCATAGAAGCTGAACCAATTTTATTCATTAAATAAGTGTGCTTGAAGTCGGTTTTTTTGTAAGCAATGGGAAAACCTTTCCAACATATAAGTGTGCAGATGTCCAAGGACAAAGGTTTAAAGTGTTGTCTTGATTATCTTGGGAAATGCATGGCGTTAACACGATTAAACTAAGAAATCTCGTGAGATTTCTAACATCCTGGAACGTGCCGTCGTGTTGCTGATGACGTTAGAGAAAGAGCGCTAACAAGGTCAGAAGTGCAGGAGCCTCCCAGCCAATCAAAAATCATTTGTCATTTCAGAGCCAACGTACCCAAAACTATATTTAACAACTGCGCTCTATGACATTGGAAAACTTAACTGAAATAAAAGCATTTCACGTCATACCTTCTGTTCCCTCGATTTAGCTGGGGGAGCCAGATTAATTTGGGAGGCATTTTCATACCAGGGGAATTTGCCGTAGAGGTTACTGAGGCTATGTGAGGGCTAATTGGTGTAGCGATCCACTACAGTCTGAATGCATCAAATGCAGATGGCAAGGCTAATTTAAGAGTTTCACCAGGCTAGATTTGAAATTACCTCTTGGAAATAAAGATCTTAAAACTAAAAGGTAGCAAAAGTCTTTTTTCGAGCGGAAACGAGTTTGATAAGTATAGAAACGTACTCAAAAATGAAGAGGGGGAATAAAGAGGACAGGGGCGGGCCACCGCCAATGAGGCCTATTCGGATCGTGAAGAACAAGCGAAATGAGATACCGTGTGCACTGTGGCCACATCATAAATAATAAGGCAAGTAAATATGAAGGAGAGCGGAAGACCCACCTAAGATGAAAATAGGGCCTATGAATCATGAAGACCACCACCCTAGACATCTATTTGCCACTTATACGCTTAACTAAAAAGAGGACCATTGTCACTGATTGATATATCAGGTGATCCTATTTAGAGAGCGCTAAAACATCACCGCTCGAGTCATTAAAGCAACGATGACAGCATATTAGGACCCGCAATCGCCACCCCCCCCCCCCCCCCCCCCCACCCTCATACAACCAAGTAGCAGAAAAGCAATGCACATGCATATATGCCAAAAATTTTCAACAACCACATAGTGCATATGCTGGGAGAGGAGATCGGAAGAGACGTGAGCTAATAAAGGCATTATCTCCCAATACGTAAAACTTATTCTGGTGAATAAGCTGCGAGTGTAAGTGTGTGGGGAGGACGGGGAAGGAGGGAGGGGCAACACAGGAGGGAACTGAGAATACAGATACTACTTCTTCTTTTCAATATCTGGAGTGGAGCGAATTTGCGCATTTAGTCGGGCGTTTCGGGCGGCAACGGGATCGACAAAATCCTCATCTATATCTTCATCATCTTCGTTGCCATGATGTCGACGCAGAGCCAAGACGGCTTGATATTCATTATAGTGCTTTTTTCGTCTTTCCTCAAACTTTCTGCGGTGTTCGGCTTCCTCTGGGGTCAAGATTGCATCTGCATCGTGTTTTTTATCCTATATTGTGGAAGAATAGATGAAAATGCATTTTAGTTATATCGAGGACCAGACAAAAAAAACAAAGGTTTTCGAAATTTTTGTAGACCCAGCCTTCCCACAATGGTAGTAAGGATACCTGATAAGGGGACTTAAGATTTCTCTTTACATTGAGGGAATGCTAGGATCTCAAAAAGCCACGAGAACTAGTTCAGTAGGGTTCTCAAAGAATTCCAGTGCCAAGTTTCCACGAAAGACTTCGCCTTTGGGCTGTTACCTTCTAACACCGCTTCTTGAAGCCAAGAGACAACAAGAAAAAATTACAAGAAGCTTACGCAGACATTGGTAAGGTAAATGGACAAAGTCGTCAATAAAGGCCTTGGTTTCATCAGAATGTAATTGCTAAACCAGCCAACACTATCGATTCCTTTATGTATTCAAGGGTGTGCTAGTAAAAACAATGAAATACGAAGCTGTTGAGTGCATAAAAATGCTCGCTTTTGCACTATCAACGAGATCAACGTTCATCAGATGCAAAATCCAAGTTAATTTAAGTGTTATAAAAGGAAATAGAGGTACATCACCCTCGCATTAAAAGCAGTCATCGGTTCCAATAAACAACAACGGCATATATCCATCCATCCGGTGTCTGAGAAGGGGAGTGAAAAACGACGACGCCTATGGACCAACCTCCCTACCATTTCTCCAAACTATTTCATCACAGCTATAGCTGCACACCCCCTTGTTCGAATAATAGAATGTATACTGTCGCCATTTCACCTTACCCTACTCTCTATCATTGTGCCTGTCTCTTTTACATCTTCGGTCCACCCTCTTGAACTTTGATGTTTCTCCCCTCTGTGAAGTTCGAAGTCAGCTAAGGGCTAATAATAACTATCAAAATGCCTGCCATTTGAAATAAATAAATACTGTAGCCATTAATACAGGGAAGATTCAAATAAGGGAAATAACAAAATAGATTATACAAGCTTATTGATGGCAATTATTACCCAGGGAGAAACGGCTTAAGTGGACAGTCTCAATCACTGCAAAGTGCAAATATTGCCCATAGTTAAGCCACGCTGTGGCATATGGGCATGCGAAATATGACAATCAAAGGTAACGGACAATTAAGCACGTGTGTAAACAACAAAGGATTGTAAGATAATCGTATTAATGCGCTTAGAAACCACAATTAAAGCCTTAACGCTGGAATTTAGTGAAATCCATGGTTATTGGCGACATTTGAATAAGATACGCTATCAAAGAAGGGTGCAAACTAGGCAAATCTGCATAGTGATAGTTTTTTAATGTTATTTAAGCCAATATATAAAACCTAAATTGCAGCAAAATATCTTGACCCTAAATAACCACGGCTTTTTCTTCAAGGTTCACAGTGAATCGGTAAAATACCTTTAAGATAACCTAGTTTTCAAGTCCATCATGGAAAAAAGCAGGGCTAGAGTAATCATCTTAAGTACCGACAAGACACAGTAAACTATTCTCCTAACGTTAACAAGGACAATATACTACGATCATAAAAAAAGTAAGAATTCTGACCTATAGATTTCATTACCTGATTCTTCATGTCCTCTTCCTCTTTTCTTTAGCTTCGTGGGGACTTTATGCTGATCCACCTATTCAAATGCCTTTCTATTATTTAGAAATGTAAACAGTATTGCACTATCACATACGAAAATGCTATAATAATAAAAATAATAACAGACCTTTGAAAAGAAATATTTCCTCAAAAAAACTGTTCAACAGAAGACCGATAACTTCAAGAACTGGACATGATCTGATTGGCCTTAATCTCGTGACCTCTAGCATTACGGATTCGTACGCGCAAATCAATAAACATATAATTAGCAGATTAAAAAAAACATTATTTCAAAACAAGCGATATTGAGAGCAAAAAAATTAAAATTTCAAGAATAAGGAAAAAGAATAAGCATCAATAGGTTATATCGAATAGAACCGATTGAAATTAGACAATCAGGGGGTCCATGAGGCAATAATTTGGTAAATAAAGCAATACGGAAAAAAGGCAAAAAATTGTTACACGAAATGGACAAATCCACCGAAGAACCAGATTCCTACGTCTCATGTAAGTAGGTGTGCAAACAGAAGTGTGAATTCCAAACAGAAAGAGTGAAATTACAAATTAACTACCAATAAATGCTCAAAAAAGTGCGCAGTTAGTTGGGAATTACGAGGAGATAAGTGGGGAGGGGGGGAGGGGAAGGGAGGAGAATAATTGGCTGCTGAAAATGCGTAACAAAACGGCTTAAGGAGGGTGATTAGCGTTGATGAGACGTTGCCGGAAGGCAGTTAAATGCTCGAGAACAAAAGGAAGGGATTTAACATACTTATATTAAGTGCTAAAATTCATCACATTGGGAGGGAAAAAATTAATCAGGAGGAAAAAGTTTTAACAACGCGTAAACTAGACAAAACTCATAGACCCCAATATCAAAGTCCACTCAGTGGCATGAATAGCCAAATGGGCTCGTCGATTCTTGTCAAAAGAGGGAGAGAGAAGAGTTAAATTCGAGCTTCTCATAAGAATAGTGCGGGGTACTTTGCCGTACTTAAGCCAAGAACCGAATGGAACAGACAAGTACTACTGGCCTACATAGTATTTAACAAAAGGCTGAATTACTTGTCACCAAGATGAGTGTTAGTGAAATACTTCATTCTCAAGGCTCTATTGGTACAATCGACTCAGTCAAGCAAAGTGCAATTAAAAATTAAGAGATCACCATTAAAATGAATCTTGAAAATATTTTTGAGCAAACAATAATTCAGATGGCCTTGTGACAAAGCCCACTACGATTTTACGTTTGCTTGAACTGTTTCCAGTCGCTACAGTTGGAGACTGGAGGTGCGGAGTCAATTTTCTTCGTCTCTCTTTTCGTTAGTGGGCTCTCCAAACTCCATAACTAACTGCATTCTGGACTATATTTTCGTTCAGGAACTCTTACAGCTGTGACTGTCTGCAGTTAGTCCTACTACTTCCACCAGGATATGAACGAGGAAGAATGAGACTATCAAATTGTGCTAATGGAATGTAGGGGAGAAAAGCAAAGCTCCATAATGCCCATTGAAATGCACAAAAAAGGCTTGAAGTAATGTAGGAAAAATAAACAAGTTGTCCTAGGATAGCTTCGCATAATAGGATAAGAGTACTACCGTGTCACAACATAAAACCAGTTACAATTAACGTACAATAAAATGAAATAAAAACACGATTAAAAACTTTAATATTTAGACGTGCTCTGTTAAGAAGCCAAAGAACTCAAACCTAGCCTGTACAAAGTCGCACTTATGAACACAAGAGCCAAGAGATGAGCATTGAGTATAGGAATTATAATGACAAACATCATTAATCAAACTCTTCCGCCATGAGAATATGGACAATAATGTTATCATAAAACAAATAGGGAGAATTCTTAAATGCTGTCAGTTGACTCGTTTAGTGTTCCCCAGAGTCTGATGCTTTTATTAAAACCGGCAATAATGGTAGATAAGATCAATGAGTTAAGAGGAGTAATTTTGATAAGTATCTCATTACCGATATTAGAGATGAAATTACAAGGCATTTACCCCAAATCGGCGGGCTTAAAATTTCGTCGAACAAACACGAATCGGACATAAGAACTTAGAGCTTTATTTACTATAGTTAACAAATATTGCAAAAAGCCAAGTATCGATAGTTCAGCAACTCGATATGCAAGTTAGGGCCCAATTGTACCTTATATCTTCAGGATACGTGAGAAGTTCATTTTTATTGAAGATTAACTTTTAAGACAGATGGGGACAGTTGCATGATGTTCAGGAATGGAGTTCCCATTTTGAGCCACTTTAAGCACAAAAAATTCACAATATGAGATGTGCTGATTTTTGCGAAAAGCGATTTGAATATTCCTTCGGATTTATGGCCAGTCTTAACAATTCGAGTTTAGGTTTTCTGATGCTTACAACCAATATCCGAAATTGCACGAATGGAAAGAACGAGTGATTGTATTGGTGGAGAGTTTAGTATGAATAAGTTAATATTTACGAATTTTGCCAATCAGAACTCTGTCCACTCAAGCCGAACACAAAAACTCAATTATATCAAAACTAAGGAAAAAAGGCTATTTATCGCAATATTCAAAATAAATATCTAAAATAAATTTTGATAAATATAATAGAAATATAGAAAGCCCATGTATTTCACACTAAGAGTACATTCAACAGTAAATATATAACGAAAAACATGCAAAAAACACAAAAAATATGAATATGTAAACATAAAAAGCCCAGAAAAGTTACATACATCTTCAAGCATTTTCGGAGGCGCTTCTGAAACTGCTGCTAGTTTACAAGCAAGATCGTCAGGATTTACTCCCTCAGAAGAGGAGCTACCGCCTTGACCTCTGCTATAGTCATAATTATAGGGAGTTGGGGCTTCATCAACTTTCATATGGCCATAAGTTTTATCTGCAGGGTGATATGTTGCTAAAATGTTCATCTCATCCCATTGAAATTTCTTTTCCTTCTTTTCATCAGCATCAGTACTCTTTAATATGCCCTTTGGATGATCTTCTTGATCACTCATTGTAGCTGCTAAAATCAGTCAATGAAGAGCAACCCCAATTCAGTTTTCGTCCTCTTTGTTTATTGGTAGATTTAAATAGGGCTCATTTGGGATTAGCCGTATTCTATATATTAAAAAATTATCACCGATATAAATTATCAACGCATTTAAAATTTTGTGCAACCGTAAAATTTAATTCACTTCTAAAATTGAAACGCTGACCAATATGGCACAAATTTCATGTGGTAAGATTTGACTATTTTAACGTTATTTTATCATACGAAACCAATTTTACGTGATCTCTCACGCTGCGTTATTGTTAATTGACATAATAAATGTTATGATATGAAGACAAATTCATTAATATTTGTTTCATATATATACTATCTGTCTACACAATATGATAGACATGTAGTTGATATATATATATATATATATATATATATATATATATATTCCAGTTATGCATTCAGTAAATGCATCAAGGTATAATCATTTGCAAATTGATGCAATTCATTCATGATTAAACATAAGTTGTTTTAAAAGTTAATACTGATGCAATTACAACAGTTTCGAAAAAAGGAGACCTGCTAGAGGCGTACTTAATCAGGTTTGTCTAAATTATAGTGCCATTTTGTCGTTACCTTTTATGTGGCATTGTGAGGAGGTCTTAATATTTAATATATTCAGTATCGAGGTTTAACGCCTATACCTTTGGTTCGACTTTGTTTTCGAGAGCACTTAGTCATAAGCAAACTCCATTAGTGTGTGTGGAACGCCGGGATATCATAGGGAACTACTTGCTTTATAATTGACCGATACCAATTATAAACTTGATTACTAACGAAACAATATCGGTAAAAAAATTGCCCAGGGTGAAATCTATCAATGTATGAGCTCGACCGAGAAATTCATGGAATTGGACATTACGTTTCATTAAATAAAACGACTAATGCTTGATAGAATAATTGATGTATGGAAGGCCTACTGAATTAATAGGAGCATGCAGATTTAGCTTAAGGTTATTTTGATATAAATGGCTTCCAGATATAACTGGAAACTTACTAAGTGCAGAAAATTTCTATTAATAATAAACTTAGAAACTTTTTTCACCTGCGTGATTAAGATGATTAAACCAAACACTTTCTCATGCTCTTGTTTAAATTTTGTTCTTCAATTAATGATTGAAATTGACGAGAGCTGCTCACTACAGTACTATAATGGAAGTGGAACAATTATCAATAAATGACCTAGTGAAGAACACTGAGGAAAATGGCTGCTGTACAGATTGATGAAGAGATGGAGCCATTCAGAAGTGCTAGAATGACCAAGTTTAATGCTTTGGTTATTAGCTGAAAATGACGGAAAATGACACTCATATTGACCTAGAATTAGAAAACCACAAAGGAGTTTGAAGACAAATTTGTTAGTCAAGGCTAATTGATTGCAGAAGATATTAAGAAGGTACAATCATATTTTTTGCTCAAAGGAATGATTTAAAACGGAAATAAGTATGAATTAAGGATGTAAAGAAAAATGTTAAGGAACAATGGGGAGGTGAAGGTAAAAGTATGAACGGAAATAGACCTGCATATATATCTAAATTTAAGGACCTAGTCCTAATTATGACATTGAATTTTGTGGATGTTTTAGATTTCAATTATCGTTAGAAATTCTAAAAGAAATATTGATTGCGTAGTCATTTGTAGTTCCTTTACTAACAGTGGTTAAATAAATTATATATTTTGAAAAATGGGTTGTGCGATAGACTTACCCCCATGTGGTGCACCCTGGGCAACGTAAATTCATACGGCAAAAAAGTCTATTAACTGGCAGTTGACTTCACACTTCAAACTGCCATGACCCCACTGTATGTCAAATTCGACTACTTTCACAGCACTCACCTCATTTGTGTCTGTCTATTTTACATCTTTGAAACACTCTTCTGTTCCCGCCCCCCTCTCGAATTTCTTTCACTTTGATATTTCTTCTTCTCTGTGAGGCCTGAAGTCATCTAAAAGGCTAATGAAACTTTCAAAATGCCTGCCATTTGATATAAATAGATATTTAAAAAATACTCATTGGTATATAAGTAAAAGCAAAAAATCAAACCATAATCAAGTTCATGAAATGTTACTATACATTTAAAATAACATTCGAAACAAAAGTAGTCTTAAAATAATCAATAAGTATATTAAATAGGAATTGTTTTAATGCACTGACTTTACCTTAAACAGATTACTTTTGGTTATTTTTAAGTTTTATGTTAGTTGGTTGGTTTATGGTTATCGGTTTTTAGTAAGCACCATTATTTATTCATAAGCAAATTTTTTCGTTTTCAATAGTTATTTGATAACTTTTATCGCTCCAAATTGATAAGATGATTAGGGTCTTACTAAAATTTTAGTTTAATTTTCACTGATGTCTCGTAAGGTTCCGGATCCAGAAAACAGCAAGCTTTCTAATTCTGAGAGTTTTCTCGATGAAAGTTTATCAAGCGACAGAAGTCCATTGTTGCCTGTTCAAAATATATTAACCTCTCCGGATGTCGGTACAAAGGTTTATCCTTATTAATATTATATTTTTGTAACGTAGAAATTATTGTCAGATATCCGTTTACTTTCCATGAAAGTAAACCAACTCCAGAATTACAACGATGACATTGAAAATGAAAAACGGGAACTTCTGCTAATTATAAGCGAAAATGAGAGCAGAATATCTCTTTTGGAAGAGAAATGTCGCATTAAGGACCGGGAGCTTAATGAAAATCGGGATTTCTGCAGTGAATTGGAACTTATTCGCCCTGAATACGAGAGAACAAAGTGCGAATTAGATCGGTATGTTCATTTGTAATTTTGGCTTTTTAATATTGCTATTGTAGTGTCACGAACGCATTGAGACAGGCCCAGGAGTTAGCCCAGACTGCTGAATTACTAGAAAAAGAAAATGATGTCTTACTGAAAGAAAACTCAAAATTTCAAAATAAAGTAAAATTCTTATTATTTGGAACTTTTCTTTTAAAATTTTTTTAACATTTTGCATAAATAATCTTATTTTTGTCCTCACTTACTGTGATGATTAGGTTCAGTTACTTTCATTATTAGATTGAGTTTCAATATTATGTTTGTCGTAAGGAATGCAATTTTAAGGAATTGAAGTATTATACTTTACTATTTTATCCTCAAAAGCAACTGAAATGGGGGTGATTTCAAAATCATAGGATGAATAAGGTAGAGAATAAGTCCTACTTCGTATTTTTTGATTTGGGTTGTGAAATTTTCATTTCTTGCATGGCTCATTCTTTTGTCTTCCAAAATTTAAATTTTACAAGTCGTCTTCTAGATTACTGATCAAATTCCTCTTTCTGATTTCGCTTATTAGCCCGTAAAACATGGTTGAACCCTGACAGTTATTTGCCCTATTGACGTTCTTGGCTCAGTAATTGAGGGCGTCTAATTTTGAAGGTTTCAAAAACGCAATGACTGTCGTATTATTCTTAATGTTCTGCTCATATTCAAGCGCCTTTTTATAATTAATTGTAATTATTGATGCAAGTATTATTTTACGCTATACTCTAACTCTACAAATTGCAGCCTTATCTCTTTTCAGATCAAGGTCCTTGAGTCGAATGTGGAGGAATTAAAAGCCGAAGTTGGGTACAAACCAATGTATGAACAAGTCAGGGAGGCACTAGCTACAGCTGAACAGACAGTACGTCATTTCTTTCTTTAGATTCAGTGTGATTTCAAATTCAATAACTTTTCTAATTGAAGAAATCATTTAATTGTCATTATAGTTAGCCGATTTGCTCGATGAAAAGGAACGTGCAAGAGAATTATCAGAAGCGGAAGCCCTTGATTTAAATGGCAAATCTCATTCGACACCCTGGTCGAAAATCTCCCGTGCCAAGTGCACTTGTACATGTCACCATAGCCCTGCAACGCCTTCGCATCAACTCAGTGACATGGCTATGAGACGCTTCTCAACTGTTAGTAATTTTGACACGGGCAATATCACACCTGCCAGGTCAAATGGACGCCAAAGTCTAGGCGATCCTTCCGTACTTGATGTTTCCTTGTGGAGAGATTTCCGAACAGGTCCGAATCCTCAAGATATATCTGGTGAATGCTTGGGTGAGGTTATGGCACAAGATGCTAAAATTCAAGAGCTCCAAGTTCAATTAGACGAGGCTCGTTTTGAAGTAAGTTCTTGGTCATAACACTTGCGTAATTTTTCTTCTCGGCTTTTGTATTGCCGTTTTTTGATTACAGATTGATCGACTAAATGGGGAAATATTTGCACTGACTAGTCAGAACTCAGATCTTGCTATTAATCACAAGGCAGCTCTAGAAGAACTCGAATTGAGGTTGAAAAATCTTGAGTCGGTGAAACAGGCACTAGAGTCTGAACTTGACATAAAAAGTGTCGTCCTAAATGAAGCTAATGATCGAATTGATACTCTGCTATCTGAAAATACACTCATTTCTGATGACCTCGATCAAATTAAAGAGAAATTCGAACAGGTTCAAGGCGAGCTCTATAGCACAAAGGTTCAGCTTAATGAAACTTGCATCGAGGTAAGTTGTCAATTTGTACATTTTTTGCCAACTTCTACCATTTCTTCGGGATTAACTACCATTTTGCGTTATTTTAGGTTGACCGACTTAATGAAGAAATATCAAACCTAAACGCACAGAAATCAGATCTGACCAATGAACATAAAGTTTCTCTGGATTCCTTGAAACTGAATGTGCTAAACCTCGAGTCAGCAAAACAGTCTTTAGAATATGAATTAGAACAAAAATGTGCCTTCTTAAACAAGGCAGACGAAGAAAAGGCTTCACTTTTGGCCAAATATGAGACTCTTTTCGATAAACTTGAGAAGTTTAAAGAGGAGAATGAAACCATATTTGGTTCATTAGAACTTCAACTTCGTGGGGCCCGATCTGATGCAAGTTTTCTCGATTTAATTTCTGCTTAGCATTTACCTCTATATGCTGTTTAATTAGGCCTTTTTTTTATTTTTCCTTTTTAGTGTATTCGACTTGAAGAGCAGGTAACTTTGCTAACTAATCAGAGCTATGTCCTTGCTAATGAGCATACAGTGAAATTTGAGGAATTTGCATCAAAGGTGAAAAGCCTTGAGTTGGATAAGGCGAATTTGCTGTTCGAATTGGATGAAAAACACGCAGCTGTACGCGAGGCTAATAGCCATATGGAGAAACTTTCCATCGAAAATAAGACCCTCGCTGAAAATCTCAGTTGTGTTAAATTACAAATTCAAGAAGCTACTGGTGAAAAGACCATTCTCTCCGAAAAGCTGGCTCACATTGCGGGTAAACTTACTCAGCTGGTTGAGAAGGTGGAGCTCTCTGCTGTTGTAAATTGTGAAGCTGTGAGGGAACTGTGTGATACGCAGGAGGACATACACGGGTTTCAGGATATAAGCAATCAATTGATTGATGCGCTTGCGATGAAAGTTCTTTCACTCAAAGAGGCACTCACTGATTCTCAGGATAAACTCGGGTCTTCTGAAGCTCATCGATTGGAGCTATTAGAACGCATCGATTTCTTCCAAAACAATGGGCTGGAAGTAGAAACCCGCAAAAAAGAACTTGTTCAACAATTAACCATCTCTACAACAACGATAGATGATCTCGCTGCTAAAAACCAGAAGTTATCTATTGAATTAGAAGATAAGGTTAAGCTCATCGAATATCTGAAATCTGAACGCGCAGACATGATAAACGAAAGGACTGCTTCGTTTGAAACGGAGAATTCCTTAAAAGCTGAATTACTTCAAGCTCAGAAGGATATAACACAGCTCACCAATGAACTTAGTGAAGCAAGGTGCAGCGCTATGCTTATTGATGAACTAGAATCTTCTCTACGAGCCCATGATTCTGACGTCTCTGCCCTAAATCAGTTGATCCAAGATCATAAGGCAACCATATCTATATTGAGAAGTGAAAAAACGTGCCTCGAATCGTCTATCGAGGCCCTGAAAGCCGAATTGGAGTCGAAGACGAATATTCTGGATACTATTACGAAAGAACGTGATGAAGTTAGGGAAGATCTAGCTAAACATCTTCGGGAGTTTTATGAAGAAAAAGACTGTCTTCTTAGTCGGTTAAGAGACCTGGATTCACATCTTGAGAGTCAGAATAAAGAGAACACCAAACTGAGTGAGAGATTCACACTAGTTGAACAAGAACTTAATGATTGCTTAAAGGAATTATCACTTAAAGAAGGCGAAGTAACTACCCTAAAGGCGGCATTTGCTAATCATATTATTGATAAAACGAACCTTCAAGTGGCTCTCAATGAAAAGAACTCGCTAGCCGATTCTCTTCAGGAGGAGATTGTTTCCTTAAATTTGAAGGTGACTAACTTGGAGAAAGAAGCTTCAAGACATGTACAAGAATTAGTTCTTCTTGAAACTGAGAAATCTTCCATTTCTGAGAAATTGGAGATTCAGACAACTGAACTCATGAATAAGGAGACAGAAATGATCAGTCTTAGAGACCAGGTATGCTAGTGTAAGATTAAAAAGCTCTTCTTTGTGTTTACCTTCCTTTAATGCTTGTTTTTCGTTTTAGTTGTCGCTGCTAACGGAAGATCATGAAAGATTGGTAAATCAGAATGCAGTGTTGGAAAGTGATAGAGCTAAGCTAGAGGCGGAATTGGCCAGCGGTCGACAACAATATATGGACAGTAGAGTAAAATCTCTAAAGAGACAATTGAGTGTGATCCGTGGTGAACATATGGAGACAGAACAGAGCCTAGCTGAAGCTAAAAAAAATGCTTCTCTTGCAGAAATGCATCGTCAAGTAGCGGAGAATGAAACTGCTCGGCTCAACAAACTCGTTAATGTGAGAGAAGGGTTTGCTCTTGTTTCTCGAACTGCTAAGTCAATATATGATTTCCTGTTTGAGTAATTTGGCTGTGCGTATGTACATGCTATCATTTTTAGATCCCAATTATGTTTAGAGATGTGCTCTGTCTATTTAAAGCGTTTAAAACGCGCCTATTTTACTATGACATTAAATGGTTTTATTTTAGCATATTGCTTGATTATTTATCTGGGAAGTTGATTGAAGGTACTGTCAATGTCTCGCGCAGTAGGAGTATTTTTGTTATGTAAATATTTAATACACACTACAGTTAAACTCATGCTAAATAGTTTTGGCGTTGATTGTACTGTCTACTTTTTTCCTTAGTGGTAGTTCTTTTTCAACTTTTAAAGTCATAGAATGGTTTTCCGTTTGTGGTCCTCTTGCAATTTTGATAACTAACCAAGAACAAGAAGTTTTTAAATGTTAGTGTCTGATTAGACTGACCCAGGGTACTTCACTAGCCAAATTGAGCGTTGGTGGTAATGCTTCTCATATTTGGGCTTGGAAAGCTTTTTTGTTGTTGTGATTTCCAGTCCTTTCTTACATTTCCATGGTCTATCGTCGATATACTCAGTCACTTCTTTTGAATGGTATCAACTGGTGCGGTTGATAATTTTCATCATGAAATGATCGATAATCGTCATTGATACCAGCTCACAGTTCCTTGTGCTCTATGAATTATTGTGTATACGTAGACTCTAGGCTAAGTAATCTATGTGCAATTGTATCCCCTAATCAATATTTTTCGTTATTTTAGATCCTACAAAAGCGTCTTGATATAATAAGTGAGGAACGCATGGCTTGTGAAGAGCGAGCCGCATCAGAAGCTGTGCTCTGCCGTCAGTTAGAGGGCACGCTGAGTGAGAAGGAAGCTGTAATTGAAGGTCTACGTCATCAGCTAAACCAAATTGACATTCAACGCAAATCAGCTCAAGAAAAGGAGGCTTCAACCCTTCGTGAGTACCTCAAATCCCGAGCTGCTCAAGATGAAGCAGAGCGACGACTCGCTATGCTTGAATTCCGCTCTACTCTGAATACTACCGGACAGCGGCGCAGTAATCTCTTAGTTTACGTTTAATTTCCATATAACTGTTGTTCTAACTGTGTGTTGTGTATTTTTTCTTTTCAGGTTATTGTAGCTTGGATCAGCTTGCGAACCAAAACACATCGCTCGCCGGGGAATTTATTCACCCTCCCTTGGTGAGAAGAAGGCATTCTGCAGGCAAAGTTGACGCAACTATGAAAAGTCCTCCCATTTTGGTAGATTTGGATAAATCTATGCAGGGTAAAAGTAATTTGTTTGAAAAGGTGAGTATTTTGTCACCTTGAAGGTATTTGAACTTTCCTTCTCAGTTTTAATGTAACTATTTTCTGATGAAAAGGTTGGTAAGAATACAACTCAATCACCACTGTTGGAGGAAAGATTTCCAGTGCCTATTGAAGATTTGAAATTCCTTACGCCGATGCCAGCAAGTACGTACATTTCTCCCATCAATATCGGTTTTATTCCTTAAATTTATGTGTGTTTAATTTTCACGAGAGGGAGAGGTAAAAGGGGACATAGGATCAATGATTGCTTATATAGCGTATCAGCTGTCTTGCACTCAGTTTCCCTCTCTTACTCTCTTTTGTTCCAATGGATTTAGGGTTCCTTCGTTAGATATCTGCGTCCTTTCATCAAAATTTCATTTACAGTCGATGTAACTTAAAATAAGTTCGAGTATCTCTTCGATAATCTCCCAAAATGGTTGGACTTTGAATAATCCTTCCTCTTAGATCAGTTGCACATATTGTCTTTTTTAAACTGTTCAGTTCTACACTGATTGGAATATGTTTTTTGTTAATATTAACAGTTTTATGCTTCGAATGGTCTAACTTTGTACCTAATTTACTCTACGTATTAATGTTTATTTTGCACCTCAACTCTGAGTCTGTTTCCTTGTGATATTAGTTGAAATGCGTTCATCTAGGGATAAACAGTGGTGGTGGGGGGGGGGGGCTTTTAATTGTTGTTGACTGTGAATAATTCGCTTTAGACTTCCGAGAGATAAGCTCTGATGGTGCTGCGCGCATGAATGAGGTGACAATTCATGATGTGACTTTCGTTTCCTGTTTAGAAGAGCCGATTTGTACCACTCCACTTCCAATACCACCTCGTTCACCAATTCTTCATTTTATTGAGGATGCTGATGTCACCCTTTGTACTCCCATGACTGCTCAACAAACCGATCCTCTCAGTGGAATGCAGTCCCAGGTTGGGCCTGTTATGCCACAAGAATGTGCCAAGTCATCAATCAATGTAGCTGATGTCACAGAAGTCCCAGTTCAAGTAGCTGACTGTCAGAGTGCTATCCCTTGCACTTCTGGTAAGCAGGGCTTGTAAAATAGCCCTCTAGGGGGTACACTCTTGAACTTAACGTCTCTTCACTTTCAGCTGCAAGTAGCACAACTGCTGCAACAAATAGCTTGACTGCTGTTTCGGATTTGGAGAACTGGCCGCCTTATAGTTCATGCACCGCTCCTCTTAGCCCGAAAGCTCGTCGTGCGGATGTTTTCTTTGCAGTTCCACCTTCATTTGAATTTCACTATCGTCGGTTGAAGCGTTTCATGATAACTCCCGCAGCGGAAGAAGACCTGGATATGTCTGATAATCTTGAAGAAAAACCTCTTCCCAATGCTAACATTGGCAATGCACTTCATAGTACAAGAGGGGAGACATCTAATCTTCAACCGGTTGCGGTAAGGGTTCCATTGAATAAATCGTGATAGATTAATAAGTGATTGCAAATTGATTTATTTTAATATCATGCCACTTGGACTACAGATTTTACATGCTATGTTCAGAAAGGTCGTTATTCCCTTTTTGGTTTTGATACTGGAGCTGCTAGTGGATAGTCATTTCTGAGATTAGAAGGCCAGGAGTTGAGTTCAATTGGGAATATATTTCACAGTAGGAATGAGAATGAAAATAGTTACGCGTAAAGAACGACTACGATCCATCTACACTGAAATCATGAAAGCTGGGTTGCGTTGCTGTAAGTGGTGCGTGTGTAGAGTGCAAGTTTCTTAGAGAAATGGTACACAATAAACTGGATTACCAAGCGTTTGCATCTAAATAATACCAAAGAAAGATAAATGAGCATGAGTACGCCAAGAATACTCTCGTATATATATATATATATCTTCGGGAGCTCATTTAGGCTTCTAAATAATAATCACACGCCTTCTCGGAGTCTCTTCTTTCGTGCAGAAAGTGAGGGCAAACAAGATTTGGTGGTGGTAAAATAATAAACAGTCATGCAGAATGAAGTGAACAAAATCGGTTTATGAAGTGAAATGATGGTTTAACGTGGATGAGAAATTTAAAGGCAGGTTAGTTGATTCTAGCTACTTTACAACTTATGATAACGATAATAATTCTGTATTACTTGAATTTCAGGTGACTGAAAAGAAAGCGGATCGCGTAACACCAGCTTCTGTCCGCTCAGGAACTCATTCACATGTTGCCGGAGGCGATTCTCTCTTCGTTGAGGAAACAGGCCGGAATGAGATTAACTCCCGTATTCACCTCTTTAAGTCACGCACTATTCAGTCAAAGACCCGTCCTGTATCGGTAGGAAATGCTCTTGATTTCTTCCAAGTTGTTCTTGTCTGTCGTTGCCACTTGTTAAGATTAGTTTATTGCAGGATGGAATTTTTCATGTTATGTGACATGGTAGTTAAAATTACAAAGTCTAGACTGGATGTGGGAATAATTGAAGAAGAGGGAAGCAGATAGGTGAGATTTGGTTTCGAAACGTAAATCCGATTTTTGCGAGGATTTTTCGATTGGAATAACGAAATCCTAAAGGAATGGAAGTACATTTTATTTATCTAGGTTACGCTTGAAAGACCACGAAGTAGAATTTTGCTTAAGAGTATTTAATTGAGTAATGATTGATAAAATTCCTGTGTAGTTGACAGAACAAAGCGATGACAATTCTTCCTTGTCCACGTCAATATCTCGTCCAGCCAAACTGGCGCGTTTCCGCTCCGTCCAGAATTTATCCAACGACGATCCTTCCCGCTCACATGCTTTGAATAAGAAATCTAGTCGAGGAGGACCTCCAGTCTCATTCAATCGCTTTAAACACCGGTTTGGGATCCATGGTAATAAGAGCAAAACTAATGATACAAGCATCACCACTACCACTGGATCAGTCTCGGGAGTGAGGGACAGTTCGGAAAATATCTCAGCCAAGGAAGACTCCTCAAAACAGAAGAAACATGCCAAGGCAAGCCGCATTTTATCCAGATTTGATAAGCTTTTCTAAGCGGGTTGATCTCTCTTAATCAGAAACGAGGTCTGGAGAGGTAGAGAGGGGTTAAACAGACCACCCCTAGATTTATTATTGGCGTATCTTGCTTGAGGCAGGCAAGAGACGTAGTAGAAGAGAATGAAAATTCGTGCACATTGCACTTTATTTTGACTGGAGTTATTATAGAAATATTTGCCAACTAACTAACTAGTCGACAAATTCAACCTTTTCTGAAGGTTGATTGGGAAGCTGATCCCAATTAAAATGTATCGCATTTCACAAAAGCACTTGTCTTCGTTTTTAGAGAGCGCCCAAGACTTCATCATAGGTATAGTGTGGTTTTTGTTATCTTTTTATCGAAATACACATTCGTGATGACCGATCTCCATTTTTTAACTCCAGCCTCCTGGTTTCAAAGCTTAACTGTGTGTGTGTGTGTTAATAACTTGTTTAATTTTGCAACTTCTCTTAACGTCTGGGCGTCTTTAAAATGAAGTAGTTTAGTGTCTTTTAACAATAAAAAAGGCCACTACGCTACTATTGCGAAAAATTATTTTACCAAATGGCAGGCTTTATGATAGTTATCATTAGCCCTCTAGTTGACTTCTGGTTTCACAGGGGGAGGAACAGACGAAGTCACAAAAAGTCAAGGGGAGGGGGGGGAGAAGAGTGATTCACGGATGAAAAGGTGGCAGACACAAAAGTAGAGAAAATGGTAAGGTGAATACTTTGGAAGTGATCAGATATGACATACAGTCGGGTCATGGTAGTTTGAAGTCAGTAGTCAACTGCCTGTTTATAGTTTTTTTGCGACATGAGTATACGTTGCCCAGAGTTCACCACGTGGAGGTAAGTCTATAACGCACCCCTGGTGCAAAAAATAGTTTGAAAGACTTTCGTTGGCTTTGTTTAATCGATTTGCAGACACGACCTTTTCTGCTTCTCAATAATGTTAAGCATCAAATCTTTTCATCTACCTTTAGCTTCGCCTTTCCAATGTTTTCAAGTCAAAGAGGCATAAATGGTAAGCACGCTTAACCCCAAAATCCCCAAAGGAAATCATCAAGCTTCTTCATATTTCTCCTTTTAGATTTCACGAACCCATTGTGTGACCCGCCAATATCGTCCTTTAACAGTTGTAGTTATCTTAATCCGACAAACTCACCCCCCCTCCCCCACCCACCCTTTGTTTATGTTTACACTCTCTTTTATATATGCCTACGTACATTTAATACAATGCGTTTAATGGATTTAAGAGAGAGTGTATTCGAATACTTTAGTAATGCATTTTGGACTGTGTAAAAGACAGACTCCTTAACCATTGCTTTCATCTGCATCGGCTTGCAATGAGGCACTAGTCATCTCGTTAACGGAAGATAGTGATTGCTGTAGTAGTTCGCGTTCAATTTCGGCGGTGGAGGGCATATTGAGATATTTTTGTTTGGCAAGTTCAAGCATTCTTCTTCCAATGACATCCAAATTCATTCGAGTATTTGCAGAGAGAGATGATACTGGCGATAAAATCACATGCATATCCATAGGGCCTAATGTGGAAGAATGCAAAGGTTTAATCAAGTAAAATATGTTGCAAACTTACAATGTCTCCTTAAATAAACAAAAACTCACTTGAACGATTGGTCATAGGTTCTCCATTGGAAGGAGGGGAGCTGATAGATTGAAATAGGTCCCTTGAGAGAAAATATAAAGATAAAATGCACACTTACGTTTCTAGTCTTCCCATAATTCGTTCATTGGAAGACCGAGGTCTAAACGCAGAGGATTGTGGAAGATAGGACGCGGAGGTAGGACGTCTTCTTTGATTTCTCCTCCGATCTACCAGAAGGGGTTCAGCATCCTGGAGATCCGTGAAGAGGTATTCGAAGCGGTCGCTCAGAAAACTACCTCTTGAGCGCACTTGTCGGCGATCTTGTAATCGCCTGAGGAGATCGTAGAAACTTTCATTTGATTGTCTAACTCCCTGAGTATCTACTAGTCCATTTTCATGTCCTCTTAAAGAGGGCCTCTGATTAATATCTTGGTTCAGATATTCCCAGCGTTGGTGATCGAATGAGGTAACGCGGCGAAATGGTTGACGCGTAATTTGACCAGTGTTCGAAATTATTCTAAAAGTTATAAATAGGGACGTGTAGCGCTAGTTACTGACGAGATTAATATTTATACTAAAGAATTCCGTTTGCCACTAGAAACTCAGATTAGTGCTTAGGACAAGTTTCGAAACATTGACTGTGAAGGAGGCGGGGGTTTATGTTATGAAGTAAAGCTATATAATCCCGACAAAACTTCCATATTAATAGTCGGAGCGTGAGATGGCCTCATACTCTTGTCAAAGCATAGAGGATGCCACCGTCTTTTCCAAATGATCAGACCAAGAGGCGAGTTTGACAGAGAAGAAAATGGGAAATCCGAAAAGGATATGTGAGTGAGTAGGATCCAAAGATAAACATCCCTAGCCGACAGATATCGCGTTGACTAACAGCTGATAAAGGTCAACCGACAATCAGGACGCAAGTCATTATATGTTCATAAACGGGGTGTGCGATAGACTTACCTCCACATGGTGCACCCTGGGCAACGTATACTCATACGACAAAAAAGTCTATTAACCAGCAGTTTACTTCTCATTTCAAACTACCATGACCCCACTATATGTCATATTCCACCACTTCCACAGTACTCACCTTAAATTTTTCTATACCTTGTGTCTGTCTGTCTCTTTTACATCTTTGAAGCCCTCTTCCGTTTTTCCCTCTCGACCTTTTTCACTTTGATATTCCTCCCTTCTATGAAGCCCGAAGTCAACTAGAGGGCTAATGATAACTACCATAAAGTCTGTCATTTGATATAAATAAATATGCTCATAGACCGTTATGACTGAAGTATGGAGATGTTCCATTATGCAGAAGTTCAACCTTAACGAAACCAGTGTGATACTCAATATTAGTTTTCGTAATGAAGGCTTATATTTGTCCTAATTTTCGCGATTCCAAGTTTCGTCTGGAGTTTGTTGAATAAATTGAACAATGAAATAGATCTATTGCTAGTTACTCATAAAACTGCACATTTTGCAGTAAATGACAGGGACCTCGTCTTGCATAATTTTAGGGCAAAATTCAACTCAAAGTTTGACTGATTGGAAAGCAGAATTAGTCGAAAGTTGGTTTCAACTCTCTTCAGCAGGAAAGCACCAGCTTACACGAAGTGAATAGAAGAAATTTCACCTGAAATGAACTTCGATGCTACGAAATAGAAAAAAATTTATGAATCGATAACCCAGACAGAAGAACAACATAAGGGAGAGTACTTAGCAAATCTTATCTAAATTTTCATCCTGCCAGATAAATGTGCTGGAAAAAGGGGTCCAAATAATTTCCGACGTACTGCAGTAAAACAAAAATTCGTTCCTCACATACTACTGTTAATTAATAAGTATTTAAGCCTGTGCCATTGAAGCAATTATCGTAGTGACTATTAGCTAACAAGACAGCCGATTGTCTAGCCGAATATCTAATGCAATAAAAAGCAAGCCTTCCTAGGGTTTTGAAAGCTGCAATCTTACAATCAAATGGAATGACTGTTAAAACAAGTGAGGGTGCTTACGGGTCGCTTGAATACTCATCAAGCGAATTACTTCCATTTCTTTGAGTAATCAAAGGAGAAAATCCTTCAGAATCTTCTTCATCCTCTTCCCCATCATGAGGAGAAAATTCTGCATCTTCCTCCCCTTCTCCCTCCTCGTAATCTTCAATGAAGTAGGATTCAATACGGAGGCCATCAGTTGAAGTGCTACTACTGCTTATATCAATGTCATTTACCTCATTGTCATCACTTTCAAATGAATCAATTAGGGGAGGGTTACGATTTCCTTCAACAATGACTTGATCGTTGGCGTGATCAGCTTGAGAATTGGAGGATTGGGGTACCTGCGCTAAGGGCTTCGGAAGGCTGCATCGTTTGCTTTTGGATCCTACTTCTCCCGGACTGTCTCCTAGAGGCTGCAGTTGGGACGAGTAAAAAGAATTATGAGAGACAGCAAGGTTTAATGCATAAGCAGCATAAGATCTCGGCCACAATTGAAGACCGGCATTACAGCACTAACACGAAAGCTAAATAATGCGAAAAGTAGCAGGCCAAATCGAGATTTATCAAAATAGGCTACAGGTGCTTGAGTTTAGTTCTCGGCCAGATCCGGTGAATTTAGTAAACAAATTGTTTGCTCCCCGCTCCCCGCTCCCCCCTCCCCCTTACATTACATCTAAGAAGTTGAGTGAGAATGGATGTGGGAACTAAGGCAATGTTGTTGCATCGTCGATGGAACCGCCATTTACCAGACGTACTGACCAAGTGAAAGAGATTTCAGTGTTCATTCTTCCCTTATAAAAAACAACGATAGTTGAAATGCCGAATATTTGGATACCAATCTCAATTTTGGCACAAGATTTAATACAGGTCTCTTGAAAAGATAGTTTGAAAGATCATTATAGCATAACATTTTAACCTGAGAGGAAAGATAACAATAGTGAAATCAACGTATTAGAACGCTACTTCATTTCTGTAACCCACTACCTCTCGGGTGAGATTGCCTATCTTAATTACTAAACTAACATACTGGTAACAATCATAAGTAACAACGACAGAGAAGAATCAGCTTACCGTAAGAGATCCATTATCAGGAGACGCTTCAGGGGAGCGGTCAGAATTAAATGAAGGAATAGTCTCATCGTCAATGTCATTGTCGTGCTCATCAGTATCCGACGATAGGTCAACGTTATCGCCAGCTCTTACCGAAGCAGAAGGCGGTGAAGAGAGTCCTTTATTATTACAACTATTGCTTGAACTTGACTCCAATTCCTTGGCTTTTTCTTTCAACTGAAGTTTCTCCTGTTCCAATTGCTCAACTCTCCAGCGCAAATCACGACACTGCACCTCGTAGGAATGTGGGCGAACCTGTAGGCGAGGAAATTGTATATACTATAACTACTTGCAAGTAGATAGTAGGCACCAAAAAATAGAACACCTGAATGAGTGACGTAGTAAATATTGACCATCTTGAAGTTGAAGTGGGGATACCCACAGAGACTGAGGATGTCATTCGTACTTTAGCTTCCAAAAGGGTTACCATTTTTTATAACTCACATAGGAATCGGCCATAGATGAATATTGAATTCAAAATCGCTGAACTGCTAGGAAAGCGAAATGTAAGCCAGACTTATTGTAACTATAGCATTTTCAGATGATGATTCAAGTTGACTGTCCACCCTTCGGTCAAAAAAATATGAAACAGCCAATCTTTTCTCAGTAGGCCAACTTATCACATAGTGGGTTGCTCTTGTTTGGTGCTGACGTCTGCACCTTTCGAATTTCCAGTTCCATTTTCCAGCCAAACCCAACTAATTGTCTTTTTCATTTGGGAAAGGCTTTAAGAAGAAGCTAATTGGCTTAATAAGGGAGTATTTATGGGCCTAATTTGATCAAGTTGTCCAGCCAAATTTACAAAGTCCTACTTAATAAGTGCTCTTATAAGAGCATCACAGCCTGTGATATGCCAAACGTAATGTCGTTACAAATGGTTTATACCAAAAAAACGAATTTTAACAAAAAAAATGTATCCATGAACTATTTAGATAAAAGCTAAATAAAGATATCAAATTTATGCGTAAAAAGGGGTGTGCGACAGACTTACCTCCATGTGGTGCACCCTGGGCAACGTATACTCATACTGCAAAAATAGGTCTATAAACCGACAGTTGACTTCTGACCTCTATCATGACTCCACTGTATGTCATATTCGACTCCTTCCACAATACTCACCTCACCTTTTTTCTACCTTCGTCTTTGAAACACTCTTCTGTTCCCCCCTTCCCCTCTCAACTTTCTTTCACTTTGATGTTCCATCCCCTCTGTGAAGCCTGAAGTCCACTAAAGGGCTAATAATAACTGCCATTTAATGTAAATAAATAAATTTAGCGTAAAAAATGACTCTCATCAAAAATGTAGAAGTTTATGGTTTTGCCAATAACTTCAGAAATGGGTATAACTCTGGGGACTTCCTAAATAATAACACCCACATGAATCATTAAAATCTTAAATATGTGAAGGTACACGCCTGTCAAAGGGGATAGTTCTTGCGTTAGCTAAATCAAACAAAAATAGCAAATCTACGCAAAATGGGGTCAAATGATGACTGAATCATGCAAGTCCATCTCTAAATTCTCCATCGACCACGTAACAAATATAAGGATTTCGTTTACTCTTGCTAAATCAATCTTATGACCATCATCCGAATTATAAATACGCAACCGACAAGGGTATTCGTTCTTACGTAAGACAGTAGTCCAGTAGCCGACGTGAATAACTTTCAAATCAGATTATAAGATCGATACTTATTGGTACACATTCAGTGATGTGGAAGGTCATTCAAGCAGGGAAATGATGGTGACATTGGTGGTTTAAGAATAATTTTCCCCTGAAATCACGTTAATAGGAAAATATAAGCAAGTGGGTAATGAAGAGGTGATGTAAAGAGGATTTTCTAATAAATTTTAAGCGATAAAAGGAGTCCCCCAATCTGGAGTGTTCTGAAAACTACAATTAACAAAAATCTTCTGTTTAAACAATTTAAAGTGTTCATTACGAAGACAATTCAGACTATTAAAGTAGGATACAGAAATACCGAGAAGTCTCCTTTTACCTTTAACGAATGAGTTAACATTACGAAGAGCCGCCACGTATAGTTGAAGACAAATGAAACAACTCTCACTCACCATATACTTAAACCGGAGGGTATCGTTTGTCCTTGAAATGTAGTCTTCAGCTTCCAGTAGGTGGACTTGAATAAACCTATTATAGCCCCAGCACTCTCCCACTGCAAAATCTGATGCAAATTCACGTGTAATGCACTTGGCACTGACAGGAGGCGGGCCTTGGTGCACGAGTTGAATGGAATATTCGTACCTGCACGCGAGAAAGACTAGGAATTATAATAAGTACATCACAAGAATATCCACAACGGGAGCCAAATGAGACATACGTTGAGGCTTCGGATCGACCGGTGGTCATTTCGAGGAATACCGAGAGGTACTCACCACGAACTGCACCGTTGCCATTGGGGTAGACCTTCAGTCGCCAGACTATTCCATCTCGCTCCAGGGGTGGACTGTAGAGAGGTTCAACTTGCTGTCGGACTCTATTGAAGTTCTCGATTACGAACTCGCCTGTTGACAATTGAGGCGACAATTCACTAAAGTTGAGAGATGAGAGCTAGGGATTAGGCAAATTGAGATAAGAAAAGAATGTTTTTAGCAGTTGTTCAATCAACTAACATAACGTGTTTCCCCTATAAGCTCGTAGTTCAAAGTAAGAAAAGAACATAAATCTGCCCATAACAGACTTCAAGCAAAGTAAAACAAAGTTACCTTCATGGAACATAGACGACAGAGATCGAATGATAACGCCAACATTATTCCAAAGGGGCATTTGATTTAGCAGCTATAAAAAGCTCCAATAGAATGATCACCAATAGCTCTTTTTAAAAACTAGGAAGGTGTTCTTCAGCACTCATCTTGGATAGATGGGTACCATCATGGAGATCTCTTGGTAAGAAATCGGAATTCTGTCACCCCTATTCAGTAATGAGACTTAACTAATACGATCGACTACTCTACTCATCGATGTCCACCGATGAACATCATAGACAACATAGCTGCCAACAAGTGGAAAAAGTTAACCTACTAAAAAGGAGAGTAGAGAATGAGAGGGAAAGGGGATATTACTAGTCATTGCGTAAAAATAACTACATAAACTTGATTTTCACCTCAGTTACAGTGCCAAGGTCACTACAAATCACAAACATAGTGATTGGCTTGTGCTCAGACAGTTAATTCAATCCCATTCCTTTAAAGTAATACAAAATAACCCTAGTTCAAAGCTCAGAACCCTTCCACAATAAACAACAAACATTCGACCGTATTAAGTAACTCGTTAGTTTAGAAATTCCTATGATATCATCCATCTTGTACGCTACAGAGAGCCGAAACACCTCCAAGGAGAAATGGTATTCTGTATATTTAAAGCATCTCAATTTGAAAAAAGTCAATCCACACGTCGCGTTTCAGCCCCCAACTTGGCTGGAAAGTCAGCGACAACAAGGCTAAGAAGTGCATTGAAATGATTTGCTCGAGGTTCCGAAAGGAAGATGCAACCTGATTTTCGCTCCTATTTCAACTTAAGTAAGAAGAAAAACATCCGTTCTTTTCTCCCAAATTTCTTAGTTCCTAGTCAAACTGGTTTCTCGCTTGTGAGTGCATTGAAGTGACTGGATTTACTATCGATTGGACCCCGAGTTCAAAACTTACAAGATATTTAAATGTTTTCCCTTCAAGAGTATTTGAAGTTATTATTTATTTCTAATTTATAGAATTTTAAAGCCTGGGGGAGGGGGGGGGGAATGTATTATAACCCACTGGAACCTAAATTTTGCACCCAATTAGCATAGGCCACTTTGCACACGCCACAAGGTCCGATAAGCAAGGTGAATAGCAATCAGTAAGACGAAAATTTTTTTTGTCAAGTATCAGAATCAATCAGTCGTTGTGAGAATTTGAGAACTTTGCTCCAAGAAGTGACTTGAACGCATGACTGATCACACACCCCCCACCCACCACTACTTTATTAGTGCAAGGGAACTTAGGCATTACGTACAAGAGCAAGCGCCTGCTGATTGAAAATCATGAAATTACCACCCCCCCCCCTCACGAAATAAACTCTTCAATTTTTTTTCGGTAACTAATGCTATTAAAACTGTCACACATTAATCCAGAGAAAAGGAAATATATACACATTCCACACTTGTGAGTCTTGGTAGTATAAAAAATTCTGCCGGACACAACCAATTCTTCACGCATCCAGATATCTTCTACCATACAATTATACCGAGGTTGAAATAAATAATGATCATCACACAATAAAGATAGGTAATCATATGTAGAGTGGGTAAGTTTTAAGTAAATAAAGGCTAAAAGATACCTTGGTAAGTCGTAAGTATTCGGATCGACATTTAACCTGGGCATTGGAGTATTGTGGACCTCTGAGAACATTGCAGAAAGCGCGGAAGATCGATTTATGAGACTTGAAGGTGAGATCACCTTCAGCTGAGATTCCACCTCATTTACCAGGGAGGTCAGCAACTCTTCTTCCTAAAACAGAAGCCCACAAAATTTTCGTCAGGGTGGTGATGGTGATAGGGCATAATACGGCCTGATGCAACCACACACTACAGATGGTTCGATCGATGTAGATGATGGATAGACTTCATAAGCTTTCAAATTTCTCTGATTACAATCGGGAACCGATAGATGTAGCCCGCTCCTTTCTCTAGTCGATCGAGAACAAGAAAATTGGCCAAATATACGGCAATAAGAGACCGAATTCGATTTACACTAGTGGAAAACTTAACATTTAACAAACTACGCTTTTTCAGTACAAGCAAGTTATGAGCTGGATATTGGTCAAGAATTGAATACTCTTCATCTTCATTTTGTATAGAGGTGAGATCTGGAGACTTACCTCGATATAAACCGAATAAAAAGTGTAACGAAAAAAATATGGAGCGACTCAATTCTTGGAAGCGCAGTAGGCTGAACACGTTGGAAGTCAGAACCAATATTGTGGCCATTAAACACCTCTGTTTACTTGATTTCAACAAGGTGAAACGTAGAAATATTTACAAGAAAAGTTATAAGATGCTACTTGCCTGCCTCAAATGACCATGATGAGCGTTTAGAGCAGAAAGTTTCTTCCTATGAGTTGATTCAAGACGAAAAAGGAGAATTTCAAAATAGGATTTAATCTCCTCAACACGGTTCTCCTTTTTCAAATTCAAAGTGTTGGTATTTCTAACCTACAAACAACGACAGTAAAAATAAAAAATAATAAAACTCACAATTTCTTTTAAAAGAGCTTGAATTTCCCTGCGTCTGTTGCTCAAAGCTTCCATTTCATTCTTGACAATCTCTAAATGTTCCTTATATACTTCATCTAGAGGGCGAAAATTATGATCTCCGTGACGACCGTCAAAGAGTGCGCATTTGTGGCATATTGCGTGATCGCAAGTGGAGCAGAAAACAGTCAAACGTTCATGGTGAGCCTCACATCTAAATTAGGAGATAAAACCACAACGAATAACGTACATATCAGCATTGCCTAATGAACACGAAGTTTTAACGTCGACTTTGAGGCTGTCCAGTTGTTGAACAACATCATTTGCAAATCTGCAATTGATTAAATTGTCCAATGCCAAATAGGATCTAAGGGAGGCAGAAATAAGAAAAGTTGAAATTTTAAATAACAAATGAGAAAAAAATGCACAAACCTGCAGTGAGGACATTCTGTTTTGATCTGAGTAATCCACCTCTTAAACAATTGTTATTTACGTTTAATATTTACTTACGCGAATGCACCCAAAACAAAAGAGCTTGGAGCAATTCGGACACATCCGCGCATCGGCAGTTGTGCCGATGCAAATTAAACATTTGAATACACTCGTAAGAGCCTAAAACATAAGGAAGAAAATGTCCTTACGTCTATAGAGTTAGTTGCTGCTGATGGTAGAGTACTACCAGGATGCGAAGACATTTTAAGGAAAGTACTACTATCCAAAATGCGTGTGATTATTAGTTAGCCTCACATTGGTAAATTTAAACAAATTAGTCCACAAAGCATGAAAGACATTTTTTAAAAAGCTTACTGTTTTATTAAATATATTTGAACAAATGTGTTCGTTGTGATGTTGCACCTGAAAATATTTTCCAACTGACGCTATACTGTTGTGAGCAGTAGACTTAATTTATGTATGTAAATGTTTTGACTTTCTAAATTTCGAGCTTTTGGTTATTGTAGTATTGACTTCCACGTTGATTTTGTTAAAGTTTCTTAAAACGTTTATTTCCAACGGAATAATTACTGTCAACTTTAACGATAAATTGGCTTGAGCAATCATCCACATTGTCACCGTGCAGCTATAAGTAGCTTGGGTTAGCCAATATTTAGACCTTATCCTCTTACAGACCAACACGAATGTAAATCGAAACAATGGGAATCTGGAAGTCAATATTCGCTTGAATCTATGTTCCTAGTCTTTGAGACGAATGCAGCCAGAAGGCTTTCCTCTCTTTTACTTGCATCCTTTCAAATATCAATTATCAATTTTATTCAAATAAAAATTATTGTCATCTCATTCAGTCAGGCTTTGAATATTTACAACATATGTTTTAAAGTAACCACATCTGGAATAATCCATCAATGGGCAAGCTTAATCAGTAAGTCTTTAAACAGCTTTACTCAATACCCATTTAATCTAGTCTTGACTTGCAGTCTTAGATTTCCAACGTTTCGTAAAAAAGACTTCAACAATCTCTCCGTAAATAAACTCTCATTACCACATAAAGAATTTATTTTGGCATTATCTCAAAAAAATTACAAGAATAGATATTGTATCTTTAAAATATCATAAAATAAGTCATAACTAGGGTTTAAGGAACGAAGTAGTTGAATAAGATCGTTCAACATCTTTCGATATTCCATGAACATTTTGCCAGATATTTCGAAAGATAATACCGAATATTCTTCATCTGAGCCATATTGATGTTTTACCATATTTGGAACCCCAACAGTCCAAAAGAGACACCAAACAAAAATTTCCGTAATCTCGCCGTAAGACAATTGGAATACAGTATCAACGATGGATGTAAGATCCATTTGAGCACTGATTGTCTTCACTAGAGGATTGCTATAATATATCTCGCTGATAACATTGAGGCCTACCAGACCTATTCGTCTTCGAATGATATCAGCAATTGGATTGGAAGATGTCGATGCGATTATCGTAGGTAAACAATCTTTCACTTTCTCTTCTTGAATCAAATCTTAAAAGAAAAGCAGAGACAGTTGCATGAAAAGATATTTAATAGAGTTAAATATAAAAGCACTACAATGCCCACCATTTTTCAAGGCCGAGTTTTGATTGGGCATTGCTAATAGATGCGTGACTTTTATCTGAAATAAGAAAGAATTAATTAACTAGTGCATTCACGATGGTGAATACCTATAAAAATGCGATAAAGTCGAGGATTCATAAGATCGGTGGAAAAGAACATAAGCTGTAGAGAAAATATGGTCATACGTATGAAGCAGAGGTGAACTTCAAAGGATAGATTATGAGAAGTTATCACGTAACATTACATCAGTTGCTGAATTGTAATTTATCGGTATTTACTTTCGATCAATAAAAATAAATTTAGTTTAAGTGACAAGTAGCTTTGCTTAATTTGATACCACCTCAGGACGTAGGAACATGGGATCGGTCTGCAAATAATCAGTAGATTATTGCATAACAATTGAATCATGCCAAAATGTTAAGTTTTTATTTCAAACTCACATCCTCGTTCTTCTGTGCGCAGTAGCGACGTGTAACTCTCGACGTAACCGTCTTAGTAGACTAAGTAAGTTTGGGGCAAACCTAAATTTATGGTTCAACTCTTTAACACTCTTCAGAACCGCATGGTCCTCTTTCAAAATAAGCTTCATTGGTACTAGACACATAACAGAAAGTCCTATTGTTGTTTGAAACATGTTCAATACGTCTATAGCTTTCTCCTGATACCACCCAAATTCAACACATCGGGTTCATTTAACAAAAATAATTCGGTCGCCAAAGCGTTAGGTCTCTCTCTCTGACCAATCAAATTTAACCTTAACAGACATGCAATCATGTTAACAATCAATGATTTGCTCGATTTTCGTTGGCCAATAAAAAGCCCCATATCATGTATTTTTCATCTTACATCATTAAGTGTCTAGAATTGGAAATATTTCTGTCTTATCTCTTTCTCTCTCTGGGGTCTGTGAAGATGTTGCTTATAAAATTAGCAACAGGGGTGTGCGAGAGACTTACCTCTACGTGGTTCACCCTGAGCAACGTATACTCTAAACCGGCAGTTGACTTCTAACTACTGTGACCCCACTAAATGTTATATTCGACCACTTTCACAGTACTCATCTTACCTTTTATCTACCATTGTGTCTGTCTGTCTGTCTCTCTTACGTCTGTGAATCACTCTTCTGTCCTTCCTCTCGAATTTTTCCCACTTTGATGTTCTTCCTCCTCTCTGAGAAGTCCGAAGTCAGCTAAAGGGCTAATGATAATTATCAAAATGCCTAACATTTAAAATAAATAAATAAATAAAATTTGCATCATATTTTGTACCTCACGAAATTTGCCTTGCATTAAGTATACAAATGAAATTTGTTCTTCCTTTCCTAGTTTTCACTATCCAATGTCTAAATAAACAACAGTTTATGGACTGGTCAGCCACCCGAGCAGACGTGTCTGGAAACCGGTTATTAACAACGATCACTAGGTTGGGTTTGAACCACCAGAGCTGACTGATTGTCCAATGCTTTACATGTCCGTCTACAATACCAGTGATCAATGGCTCTGTGCAGCTGATATACTCATTGATGGAGTTATTCAAAAGCACATGACAATTATCTATAAATGTTGATTTCGCAAGACAAATGTTCCCTGATATTTGCCACTTTACACTACTTGTGCGTTGAAAAATGTTAATTAAACAGGGTAATTGAATCAGTAAACCTTTCGAGTCTCAATACTTTCATCTTCAGTCTTTGAGTATTTAACTGTGAACCATTACGGATCGTTTGTAACCCGTCCAAAATTCTAGCAGAACGAGAAGTCGAACGTCTCTGCGTTAGAAATGGTATATTCATTCAGGTTTTTAAGAGAAGGTACTACCTTAGGATTCAGTTCCATGGAATGAAATGTCAAAATGCAACTTTATCTGTGAAACCGAAAAATACTAACACATTAATGTAGGCTCGTGCCAACCGTACTTATGGAACTAATTATATTTATTTAAATACTACTTACTAAATATGGATAGTAATGTTCACCACAAAATAGCATATTTATTTATAACAAATGGTAGCGTTTTAATAATTATCATTAGCCCTTTTGTCGACATCGGGCTTCACAGAGGGAGGGAGGAACATCAAAGTGAGATGAATTCGGGAGGGAGGTTAGAAGAGTGATTCACAGATGTAAAAGAAACGGACAGACACAAAGGCTCAGAAAAGGTAAGATGAATACTGTGTAGGGGTCGAGTATGACATACAGTGGAGTGTTGATACCGTTAAAGTAATAGAGTGGGGTGATGGTAGTTTGAAGTCAGAAGTCAACTGCCGATCAATAGACTTTTTGCAAGTCAGAAGTCAACTGCCGATCAATAGACTTTTTTGTCTTTGAAGTCAGAAGTCAACTACCGTACAGTGGGGTCATGGTAGTTTGAAGTGAGAAGTCAACTGTAGGTGAGGTGAGTACTGTGGAAGTAGTCGAATATGACACAGTAAGGTAAGATGATTACTGTGAAAGGGGTCGAATATGACATAAGTGAGGTGATGGTAGTTTGAAGTGAGAAGTCAACTGCCTTAGTCGAATATGACATACAGTGGGGTCAGAGTCAACTGAAGGTAGAAAAAAGGCGAGGTGAGTACTGTGGAAGTGGTGAAATATGACATACAGTGGGGTGATGGTAGTTTGAAGTCAGAGGTATATGACATACAGTGGGGTGATGGTAGTTTGAAGTGAGAAATAGGTAGAAAAAAGGTGAGGTTAGTACTGTGGAAGAAGTCGACAGTAGAGCAAAGGTGAGGTGAGTACTGTGGAAGGGGTCGAATTTGACATACAGTGGGGTGATGGTAGTTTGAAGTGAGAAGTCGAAGAGAAAAGGTAAGATGAGTACTGTTGAAGTGGTCGAATTTAAGAAAAAAGGTGAGGTGAGTACTGTGAAATGGTCGAATATGGACAAAGGTGAGGTGAGTACTGTAAAAATAGTCGAATATGATATAGAGTGGGGTGATGGTAGTTTGAAGTCAGAAGTCAACTGCCGATCAATAGACTTTTTGCAAGTCAGAAGTCAACTGCCGATCAATAGACTTTTTTGTCTTTGAAGTCAGAAGTCAACTGCCGGTTAATAGACTTTTTTACCGTATGATTATACGCTGCCCAGGGCGCACCACGAGGAGGTAAGTCTATCCCACACTCCTAAAATAGCATATAAAGAGGGAAATATCATTTATGATGCGGGTGGGGGGTGAGGGGAGGAAACAGTGAAACCTCTGGTGCTAAGGTGAAATGAATCAACTTAAGGGAATTTCAGTGTCCTCAAATTACTCCCCCATTTTTCCATCCCCCTCCCCCTATAGTGATTCTTTTATAATAGAGAAGTGAAAGCCTCACCTCTACCATGATTCCACATTGAAGAACCCTAAAACAGGAACAGTGGAGTCGATGGTTCAAGGACTGAGAAATCAAGATGCCAGTGACAATCCTTCCCCGTGTTCTCATTCCCTGTCTCCTTCTAATGTAATGATTAATGAGGATTTATTGCCAGCTGATGATAGTTTACTCGAAGGATTTGAAATGAAATTACTGGAATCGAGTACTCATTGATTGAATAAGGGAGATTCAAGTGATATTCAATGAATCCTTTACTCGCCTCTCTCGGCAGCCAATTTTGACTCTGATGATAATACTTATGATAAAGAGGGGTTCTAATTTCAGTAATTATGAGGCAGTCTTTGCACAAGATTTCCGCTACTACTGAAGGAATAAATGTTCGTCCATAAGCTACTTAACGGACGACATATTTCATTAGACTGACATTAAAGGAGCGACTGTGTGTTTAGCGGTAAACACGCAAACCCAGGGGAAGCCAGGGAAAATTTTAAATTCTGACGTTTATTTATATCAAATGGCAGGCGTTTTGATGGTTATCATTAGCCCTTTAGTTGACTTCAGGCTTCACAGAGGGGAAGGAACGTCAAAGTGGGAAAAAAGTCGAGAGGGGGGGGGGAACAGAAGAGAGTTTCAAAGACGAAGGTAGAAAAAAGGCGAGGTGAGTACTGTGAAAGTAGTCGAATATGACATACAGTGGGATGATGGTAGTTTGAAGTTAGAAGTCAACTGTCCATTGATAGACTTTTTTGCCGTATGAGTATATGTTGCCCAGGGTGCACCACGTGGAGGTAAGTCTACCGCACACCCCAAGTACAAGACGTTAGTTGAGGTAAATACGATGGGTCTACTTCAAATCACTCATTTTCATTGGCTAATACTCCTGCTCATATGAAGCTAATTCTTACATATTTTTTTTAACTCTGTCTTGTCAAATTTTGCCTTGTATAAGGTCGCTTGGACAGAGGGCTGGAGTGGCCCTCCCATTCAAATGAATGCAAAGTTATGAGCTTTCCTATATATTTTGGCAACCACTTTAAATTTCACAATCAAAAATTTAAAGGGAGATAACCATTTAATGAAACTTGAGTTAGAAAATAATGTCCTACTCAAAGATTAAGGATTACTTAAATGAGGTCGTTTATCCACATAATTTATCTTTAAGAATTCACACAAATTTGTAATAAAAATAACAGAAATAATTAGTCTCTAGTGGTCAAATAGCTTATCTATGGTGGAAAAGGTTTTATCTGTCATCACCAGGGTTCATGTTAAAAGGATAATTTCATCAAATGTATCTCTGTCTCCTTTAAATCTGCGACTCGCTATTCTGTCCCCCCCTCTCGTCATTTTGTCACTTTGATGTTTCTTCTCCTCTCTATGAAGCCCGAATTCATCTAAAGGGCTAATAATAACCATCAAAACACCTACCATTTGAAATAAATAAATATATGATTCATTTATTTATGTAGTAAATTGCTACTCTGACTGTGGGCAGTTATGATAAGAGGATATAATTTTCAAGGTAATTATGGGTTATAATGTCCCATAGGTCAACTTGTGGGACATTCCACCAATGACCAAATAGAAATCCTGCTATAGAATA